CCCCCCCCCCCCCCCCCAATAAGTTAAGCTTCAGGTCTCCAGTTTGCCCCTGGACATGGGGGTCCTGAATGTGATCTTTGCATCTTCAGTACACATCAGCTCCATACACTGCTGGACATTTGCCAGCTGCCTAATTCTTGAAAATAAGGAATGATTCGTGTGAGGGACACAATAAACAAAGTCACCTTCCTTCTTGCTTATCAGTCATCATTCAAGCTTCTGGGAAAAATTTTGTCATTCAGTCAATAAATGTTATTTAAAAGATAATATACTTAAAAGCCCATGGAATGGTATTGCCCTAAGCAACTGAGAATAGTTAAGTCTCCTTTTCCCACTTTCTAGTCTTACCCTGACCCTTCCCACTTCCAGGCTGTGTTGCCCGACAGGACTTGATTGAAATGCTAGCATAGCCATCAGCTCATATGCAAGGCCAAGCTTTTCTATGTTAGGTCAATTTTTTTGTACATGTTCTACATTCTATAAAAAAAATAAAAAGTGAGGGGGCCTTGTTTACTGTATGTTTCTCTTGCTGAAAAAATAGCAAGTTTAAAGTTCAAGATTAAAATGCAAGGATTCTATGGAAGACATTCCCATGGACAATTAAGATACTTGTTTTTACAGGAATATAAAATGCTTTTCTCGCATACTCGTATATAGGCTGTTCCCAGAGAGAGTTGCATCTCAGGGTAGCTTTCCAATTAAGAACTGATTTGTCTAAGAATTTATGTGTGTTTTACAGAGAATAATGCACAAATGCATTCTTACTTGTCAAGAGATTCAAACTGTACAGACCACAGCATGCTGGACGTCTTCCCTCTGCCTCCCCTGATTCGTGCCCTCCCTCCTCTGCCCTCTCCCACCCTGTTCCGAGCCCCGGGAGGCTGCAGCAGTAGGCTTCCTTGCCCTCTGGCTTCCTGTGGGGTTGGGACGGGTGACTGAGGACAGCAGGGTTGGACACTGACTTCCCAGCCCTCTTCCTGCACAGTCTCCAGGGCCACCTCACCCCTCCACCAAAGGCCTCAGTGCCTGCCAGGGGGCGTGCCCAAGAGCTCTTTCTCAGTTTCTTGCTTTGGCCAGCCATGCAGCTTACCGTGATATAAGATGGGGCAGGTTCTTCTTTCTGGATCTGTGAAGAAAGCACCGCAGTCTGTGGTGGCCCCAAGCAGCTGTTTGTTTCCATGACTGCAGACGCAGCTCCTCAGCCTGTCCCTCACGTCCAGCCACGGGAGCAGCTGGGGCTCCTAGACTGCCCTGCCCCAACTTGCACGGCCTGTGGTGCTACCTGTGGAGTGTCTCCTGGGCCTCAGCCAAGCCACACTATGCTTGGTCACTTTGCCAAAACATTGTCATTATTCATCTGTCTTTTGGCTTTTTCCCCCAAGATGGCATCAGGATCTCTGAGAAGATTCAGTTGATGGCATTAAGGAGAAGGGTGGGAAAGAGAAGAGGAGAAAACCTTTCTGACTTGTGCCCCGTAAAGTATAAGCACCTCAAGGATAGAAACTTTTCTGTTAAAAGAAAAAAAGCTTTAAGGGCTGGCCAGTTAGCTCACTTGGTTAGAGCGTGGTGCTGATAACACCAAAGTCCAGGGTTCAATCCCTGTACCAACTAGAGGCCAAAAAAAAAAGCTTCGAATTATTTTAAAAATCATTTTTAGTAGAAGTGTATTTCATGCTCATTGCAAAATCCTCAAATACATTAGTATATAAAGCAGGAAGTAAAAAGTTCTTCTATAATCCCATTTCCTAGGATAAAAACCCCTATTAAATGCTAGGTATATCATTTGAGACCTTTTCTATGGATATATAAAATATTTCTATGAAAAATTTTTGCATACCATAGTATTACACTGTAATTTCTAGTCTGTAATCTGTCTTATTCATTAGACAGTACATCATGGAAAACTTTTTATGTAAACTCATGAGATTCACTCGATCCTTTTATCAGCTGCATAATATTCTATGGTATAAACTTACAATATCCAGTGGATGGCCATTAATATTTTTTCCATAATAAACAACACTGCAGTGAGTATTCTTGTACATAAATCTTTTGATACTTGCATCGGTACTTCTAAAGGTAATTTCCTTGAATAGGAATTGCAAAGTCAAAGTTGTTATAAGTGTTTTTGTTTTCATGGTTATGAATTTAGATGTGAGAGACAATTTTGAAAAAGACCACAAAAAATAACCAAATTTTTACTTCCGGCTTGCTTTCTTCTTGGAGCTTCCCCCTCGTGTGGAACTACCTGTGTTCTCTACTTGGTTGTCTACTGAGTTCTGGTTCCATGGTCTAAATCTATGATTGCCCTCGCCCGTCTCATTCTCCCCCATAGTTCCTCAGCAGGAAAAGGCTCCAGTGGCCTTCTGGTTGCTGAAGCCACACCTCCTTCCCATCAGCTCTCCTAAAACTCCCTTTGCATCCTGCCTAGAAGCAGACGGCTACATGCAGTGGATCTATTTGTTGTTGTTTTTTCAAAATATATATTTCAATTTCTACTAAAGCATAGTCTGCAGAGTTCCTTGGGAGCTCAGGAAATCCATAAAGTTATTTGTAAGGTAATTAGAGGGACTTTCACCTGTAAAGCTTTCATAATATTAAATATATGATATTCTCTTCGATTTAACAAGCTGAGAAGAGTCCTTAACATTTCATTGAACCTGGTTATGTCCTCCCCTGTTGGACTTAAAGTGGGAATCAGAGTACTTTTGGGGGCTCTCCAGAAAAACTAGATCACCGTAAAATCACCACTTAAAGAAAATTCTAAATCTTCTCCACGGTTTTAATGCTTGATTCTTCACCTGTTACTTCTCATTATAAGTTTTGTTGATCACCATTCACTCAGAGAAAAGAATCCCTTTCCCCTTTTCTTTTCCACTTCTTTTGAGAGTGATTGAACCCGCTTCACATTTTTATATACTGCAGAAATTATCCCCACTAAAGAACACTCAGTCCACCTTTCAGATGTTAAAGACTAGAGAGCTCTGGGGAGGGCATTTTAAAGAGAAGACTCAGGGAAAGCAAGAGGCTCCGTGCTCTGACACAAGGCTGCAAATGCCCTTTCTCCCTTGCTGGATCCTGCTCAGGAGCTGTCATGCTTCAGTGCAGCAGGGGTGCCTTCCGTTGGTGGATCGATTCTGTGGTTAGGCTGTGAGCAGTGACATAACATTCGAACAGTGAGGTATTTTAGAAAACTTCTTACATCAGTAGATGCAAGTTTTTGCTGTGTGCCAAACTGTGCTGAGCTCTTTGTATGCATTATCTCATTGAATTTTCATAAGGTAGAAGGTAGATACCATTATTATAGCATTTTACAGATAAAGAAACTAGGATTCAGAGTTGAGGAACTTCCCAAGTCCCAGAGAGGGTGTGCTGCAGACGCAGGATTTGAATCCAGGTCCTATAACTCCAGCTGTCGGGTCCTTAACCTCAGCACTTGTGCTCTAGGGAAGGATGTTGTGAAAGTGGCTAGGTTGAAATTGAGGAAAGGTGTTATTTTATCTAGCAGCTCCTGAAGCCCCCCAATAAAGATAAGCATGGGTGATTTATAGCTGGATCCTGGTGACATCAGTCATCAGCTCCTGTGGTCAGAAGCAGACGTGGAGCCAGAGCGAAATCAGTCATCAAGCAGATGTGTGTGGCTGGATGCAAAATGGTTAATGGTTATTATTATTAGTGATCAGCCAATGACGTATCCAGTCAAGGATGGATTAACTGGTGAAAGTGGATCCTATCTACCCTGCCCCCCAGTGCACCCCAGCTCAGTTGCTCATTATTCATAACCTGATCCTTCTTATCAGAGCAGTAAACATTTCTAGAAACAGTTAATGCCTCCAGGCCTGTATTTCACTCCTTGGAGCAATCATTTACTAACTACCTCCCAAGTTTCAGTTTCTAAAAATTAGCTCTGGCAGAGTAGGGACTTAAAGTTTTCTTCACGAATTAAAGAGCTCATTAGGAAGTGATTTTTTCTCACTTTCCCATTGATTTTTCAGTTGCTCCTGAGACCATTTTATCATGCAGGCTAAAAGGAAAGATGAAGAATCCTATCTTTGATTCTCAGGTAGCCCCAGCACAGAAGCCAGGCTGTGTGCGAGTCCCACACGCGTCCCGAGCTGAGGCAGGCTGTGCCCGGGTTACCCACCAGCCCTGCAGACACACGTGGCACAGGGGACCAGGGGAGGCTGAGCCCCTCCACCAGTTGCTGACATACTTTTTCCTGAAGGAGACATCAGTGCCATCCTGTAGTGTCATACATTCTGATAGCTTCACTATTATCATATTTTGTGGCTAGAANTGCCATCCTGTAGTGTCATACATTCTGATAGCTTCACTATTATCATATTTTGTGGCTAGAAGTGTCTGTTATGTAACAAAGACAAAGAAAATCCACTCTTTTTCCCTGCTGTCTTTCCCACTCTTTTTCTGCTCCTCTGTCCGTCCCTACCAACCCCTTCCATGGAGAACTGGCTTATTGAAGTTCCCTGTCTCAAATGCAGTGATTAGCTAAGGTCATCCCCAAAGAAAAGACCAGTGAAAATTACAAAAGAAACTCGCTTTCTCTGTTCTTTCTTTCTGAGCTATGTTGCCCTTCTAAATCATTTGGAGGAGGAGGAGGAGGGGCCATCATTCATTGAGCAGCACACATGGGCCAGGCCCTGCTCAGCACCATATGTGCTTTTTTCTCAATCAGCACAGCAAGCCTGTGAGGTACACACTGTAGTATCCTATCTCTGTTCTACATACGAGACACAGAGAGGTTAAGTAACTTCACCAAGGTCACACAGTTCTTCAAAAGTTTGAAGTGTTTAATAAAACATTTCAGAAATCCATCATAAATCTAGAAATGCTGGTTTTCTATTCACCTGCTTAATTTCTATAACTCTTCTCATTACATAGGTTTCGTAGGATTCTAAGGTATGCTCTGTGGAAATCTCTTTCCCCAGGGGGTGTTAATGGCCTCTCTGGGCCCTGCACTCGTGAGCTGGGCTACGAGCTGGTCCTCTGAGTGACTGCATGTTCGTCTACTCTAATCAGTCAGTGCTTGGCTGTGCTGCACAGGTGCTACGTATTTTGAATATTTTACAAGAAATAAAAGGGTCCTAAGATCAAATTAGTTTGGGAAATATGGGAATAACGAAAGTTAAACACTTTGCTTCAGAGAGTCTCAGAGCCTTTGCAGTGCTGGTATATGTTACGAATCTGCAAGGTGAATCGAGTGTCCAAAGGCTTCTTAAACTCACTGCAAGGTAGTGTTCTGCAGGTGGAGTGTTCTGCAGGTGGAGTGTTGTGCAGGTGGACTGTTCTGCAGACAGCATTTTGAGAAATGTTGCTTTGAATTATTCTTGGGCTTTCATTAGTAAGCACAAATACTATAAAATATCTGAAAACCCTAATGGTGGTTACTGAAATGGGTGACGAGTGGCCAGGGAGTCAGGGTCGTGAAGCAAGACAGTAATTTTTGGCGTTAGGCTCTCCTGGCTCTCCACTTCTTAGCAGTGTGTCCTTTGGCAAGTTACTTAATTTCTCTGATCGTAGCCTCCTCAGTTGTAAAATTGGGCTGGTTATACCAGTTCATGGGGTGCTGTAGGTTCTAAGTCCGTTGACATGGTTGGTATGGGCCTGGCACAGAGTGTGCCCTAAGCAGTGAAAGCTGTTTGTCCTCTCCCCACTCCTCACATGCACCTGCAGGCTCATCCATAGTGAGGGGTATAGGGGATACAGCTGTTATGTATTTGGGGTTCCTGCTAAATGAATAGATTTTAGCAGCTCTTGTTACAAAAACAAACCCAAAATGGGTAACTGTGAGATGATATGTATGTTAACTTTCTTCAATGTAGTAACCATTTTACTATCTATATGTATCCCATATCATATTGTATACCTTAAATATACACAATACAATTTATTTTTTAAGCAAGTAAATTTTTTTTAAAAAAAGGATTCTAAGGTAGCTTAAATTCATTCTTTTATTTGTATAGTAAGAGTCAACTTCTTGCAAAGCACTATATTCTAAGTGCCTTATGTTCTAGTTAG